AGCTGCCACACCCACGAGCTGTGCCTCAACTTTCCTGTCGTGACCTGAACCACGGCCTGGAATACATCCTGCTACCTTACTTCCACCAGGCATTTCCTCGCACGATGAGAAAAGCAGCCAGTGCAGAAATTAACCCTTTTCCTATGGGCAGGAAGGAGCTGAGCTTTGGCCAAAGTTATCACTTAAAGCAAAGACCCACAGTCAAGGAAAGTTAGTTTGAGAAAGACACCATCATGAAATGACAACTGACTAAAGGGAAGTCTGGTGTTTTAACCCAGAGGAAAAATAATCATATTTTTGTGTGCTGAAGAACTTTAAGAAGGTCCTGATCCAGACTGAAAAGGCTTCAACTCCTTTTCTAGTCATCAGAAAGGAAGCACTTTTCCAGCAACAGTAAGTGATATTAAGTATGCCAATTGAAAATGAGACTAGAATGTGGCTCACGCGGCCAGATTCCACATCAATCACATTGGGAATGTCCCTCTTTTTCTATACGGATCTTAAAAGTGAACTTACAGAAATATTTGAAATGAAAATCTTTAAAAATGAAAGGTCTGCATGTGAGATATGCTTGCTCTAACAATATTTCGAAGGTCATAAGTGCAAATGCTCTCCCAACCTAATTTTGTTCAGTGGAAACACTGTTTGCAAGAACAGCTGGCAGCCTACTTTCTCTTGAGGATCTTTCTCCTGAAAGCCATTACTTCACCATAGAACACACTTTTATTAACCATGAAAATTGATATTAAGCTATACTTCCATATTTACTGATTACCGTCCATTGCCTTTTGTGATTTAGCAGACATGCCAGAAGGGTAGCATATGTTTTCATGTTGAAGCACAGTTCCATTCAAATGACAGGTGAGTCAGGAAACCACCCCTTGACTTCTATATACCAGAAGGTATAGGAGAAAGTTCATGAGCTTCTTAAATATTCAGCTGAATGTAGGCGGGGCTTTTCTGTTCCACCAGTCAGCACTGCCCCTCCAGGTGGCTTCCAAATAACCACACAGAGACTTATTAATTACATATGTAGTTGGCTGGTACCTTAACCCTGCTACCAAGTAGCTCTTACAACTTGAATTACCCCATATTTCTTACCTCCTTTCTACCATGTGGCTGTGCTCTTTTTCAGTAGGGCCTGTTCACCTCCTGCTTCCTCTGCTTCTGCTGGTGAGTCTGTCCTTCTTCTTCCCAGCCTCTCTTTCTGTCCAAAGGTCCTGCCTAACCTCTACCTGCCTAACTACCATTTAGCCCTGTGTAAAAACAATGAGAGCAACAGACAGTCACAGTGTACAAAAGCTCGTTCTACAGCAGCAGTTGAGATCATGAGTGAACCCACACGAGTCTGGAACTTCTACTTTGGTGGCTTAGCATTTCTTTGGTAGATGTAGATCTATAACTGGGGGGAGGTAGGGATGGGAGTATAGGGGCTGGGGGTGGTACTCATCTCTAAATACAACACTCTGGAGGCAGAGGCAGGCAGATCTCTGTGAGTTTGAGGCCAGCTTGGTATACAGTCAGTCTCAGGACAACCAGGACTGTTTCACAGAGAAACCCTGTCTCAAAAAACAAAACAAAACAACAACAACAATAACAAAAACATTATGTAGACATATATATATATTGATTATACATTTTATGGCAATATTTAATAATTGCTTTTTAGAAAAAGGAAACATTTATTAAGATGTTCTTTTCATGAATGTTTCTTAATGATTGAGAAAAATTGTCTGAATTTTTCTTTACATACCTTGCTTCTATTTCCTACCACAGCAATATTTAATATTTCTGGCCAATAGTGCACTTTAGGGTGTTTTCTCTGTCAGTCCTGATAATGAGACTCTCCCCAAAAGGAGGTTGGCTATTTGCTCATGTCAAATACAACAATATAGAGTGTTACCAGTGATTGCATTTTGGTATTTTGAGTCTTGTGTTTATTTGGATTTAATTTAGTTCAAGAATGGTATCTTGTCCTTCAAAACAAAAGTGTCCAGTGAGAAAGTCATGAGTCATTCTTTAAGATAAATCACACAGATGCCATGTAGTCCATTAGATTTTATCACTACACACTTATGTGCTTCATCTTGGAGCTCACTGGGGAGCAACAAAATGCTCTTCCCTTGTTCAAACATTAGGCAGAGACATTCAGTCCAGTATAAACCATCTCAAATGCATGTCCCTACACAATACTAATGGTTGGCTACAGTGAAGTTCACTAAATTTAAGAATAATCTTCTAGAAATGTTCAGAACATCAAATTTTGAAAGATGTGTCAGGATTTAAGATCACACTGTGGTTAATCAGTTAACAAGTATCATGCATGAGTGTGTGTGTGTGTGTGTGTGTGTGTGTGTGTGTGTGTGTGTGTGTGTGTTATGAGCAAGACTTTGCAAGTGCAGAGGCCAGAAAGACATGTTGGGTGTCTTGCTCAGTCACTTTCTGCCTTATTCTTTTTGAGACTTGCTCTTTCACTGAATCCAGAGCTAGCTGGCAGCCAGCAGGTCCTAGAATTCTTGTCTCAATTCTCTTTGTCGCAAGGCCATGGCTTGCACAGCCAGCAGGCTTACCCACTGAGCCATCTCCCTGGCCTTTATACCCATTTTCAAAATGGAGTTTGGTTCTTGTTAGGTTTACCTGGAAGACAACTACATAAATATCTGAAGAGCATAATGACACAAATTATATTAGTATGATATCAATTCAACATCATGGTGGGGAAACCCACAGATAGCTGACCTGAGCTTGTGGGAACTCACAGACACTGGACAGACAGCTAGGGAGCTGGCATGGGACTGACCTAGGCCCTCTGCATCTGGGTGACAGTTGTGTAGCATGGTCTTTTGTGGGCCCCTAGCAGTGGGACCAGGACCTGTCCCTGGTTCAAGATGTCCCAACCTCCAGGAAGCAGCTCCTTGAAACCTTTTTCCTGTGGTGAGATGCCTTGTTCAGCCTTGATGCAGGGGGGGAAGAGCTTGGCCCTGACTCAACTAGATGTGCCAGCTTTGATGATTCCATGGGAGGCCTCACCCCATCTGAATGGAGACTAAGGAGGAGTGGATGGGGAGTGAGGGTTCCAGGGAGTGAGTGAATGGGAAGAGAGGAGGGAGGGGAACTGTGGTTGTTATGTAGAATAAAAAATGTCAGAAAGTTCATATAAACTACACACACCAGTGAGAGTAACAGTGGTAGACAGCCAAATATCACAAGAACAAGTTTATTCATGTCTAGGAAGTTAGCAAACAGCTTGATAAAGCTTAGCTTTAAGACAGAGACAATGTCCAGATGTCCACTTGCTACTAGACATCAAAGAAAAGCATCAAAACACAAGCTGTTACTTGACTTTTCCAGGCAGAGGTAAAGAAGCAACTGTTCTCTCAAACAGAGACAACTAGATAGAACAAAGAAGGGATTCCCCCCAATGTAGTTTTGTGAACCAATGAGTTTTGGGGGGCTTGCTTTCAGGAACAGGGATGACTCAAAAGCAGAGATGTCACCCAGTCAAGTTTTTACATCTCAGAATGTTTGGGCTTGGAGGGGCTAATGAGCATCTCACGGAGGGTTTCATGACCTTCTCTCCTTTCTGTATGAAGGAATGTTAACGTGCACAGGTCTCATGAAGTGACCATAAGTGGTCTCTGGTTCAAGATGTCCCAACCTCCAGGAAGCAGCTATTCTGCATAGTTTTTTGCTGTAGAAAATCCCTACATTTTTGAACAAGATCTGCAATAATCAATCTTTGCACCTCAGTTCCTGGGTTCACAGACTTTTCTGGAAGCTGAGGGCTGTGTAGAACATGATGACAAAAAGAGCTGGGATGCTGTGAGTTTTCACGTGGTCTCCATGCTAGAGGAATACTTTCCTGTGTTTCCTGGTCTCCTCTAGAGCACAGGGAAAGAGCCCTTTGCCTTGTATCTGGTTCCTTAGTATGACCCTTGTCAGTACCAGACATGGGACTCATTAGAGGACTCATCTCTGAAAAGAATGGAGGATGTAACTCCAGAATAAATAAGACACAGAGAGTCACAAACTTGTTTAAAAGCCAAGAGAGCCAGTTATAAATTAATTCAGTTGTTCTCTGAATTAAGGATCTGTTCTGTTTCTTCAAGGAGAGCTTGATGAGCACATTTTAGAATCAATCATTTTTAATGAACATTGCACAGAACACTAACCGAGAGCTTTCAGTCAGTGCAAGGTTTCCCAGAAAGCCTCGTGTTTTTCTTTTCTTTTTTTATCTTCAAGGAAATAAACAGGAAGGATCTCCTGGATACCTATGTCATGGTACAATTACAGCCTTGTTAATGAATCGCTGTAGGGAGATAATTTGGGGGTCAGCAGCCTTGGGGTGTGTGGGCAAGCTGTAGGAGACCAAGGGAAGAGATAAACCCCATTCTGGTATCCAGCCTGTGAATAGGTACAGTCATCTGAACAGTTTAATCACCAGAAGCCTGCTGTGGGAGACCAAGGAAAGAGATAAACCCCAGTCTGTGAATAGGTACAGTCATCTGAACAGTTTAATCACCAGAAGCCTGCTGTAGGAGACCAAGGAAAGAGATAAACCCTATCTCTTTCCAGCCTGTGAATAGGTACAGTCATCTGAACACTTTAATCACCAGAAGCCTGCTGTAGGAGACCAAGGGAAAGAGATAAGCCCCATTCTGGTCTCCAGCCTGTGAATAGGTACAGTCATCTGAACAGTTTAATCGCCAGAAGCTTGCTGTAGGAGACCAAGGGAAAGAGATAAACCCCAGTTTGGTCTCCAGCCTGTGAATAGGTACAGTCATCTGAACAGTTTAATCACCAGAAGCCTGCTGTTGTATACACATGGTAGCTCAGGCCAAAGAGAAACTACAAAAGCTTTTCAGTGCCTAAAGTGTGTGAAATAGCTTTTGTGAGAAGGTGATGGAGTTGGGGTTTCCCTAGGGGATGCCAGGACTGAATCTGTCTTCCTGGACTCTGAAAATTGAAGACTTACTATTTTTTCCAACTGTTTTCACTCCCATTCCAGTGAGGAAGAAAGAGTCACTGGAGTCTTGGTTTTGCTTTTCTTTTGGTCTTTTCTTCCTCTGAGTAAGATATATACACGCCGTGCTTCCTAGACGATGGGACAGCTCCGCACTCTTGACTGGCCTGGTCTCGACCCAGCCTTCTGTGATTCGCAGTGACAGGTATGTGTCACCAGCTTGGCTCACTGGAGACTTTATTACAGGACACTTGCCTTGGATTAAATGTGTCAATGTTCAGAAGATTCATTTCTTATAGGAGAGAAAAAGGTAGGGGTGTTTAGCATTAAGCAAAATCCATGTATATTAAGACAAATTTTCCCTGGCATTCCAAAAGCTCTTGTTTTACGGCAATAATCCCTTCTATTCTGAAGCACAACAAACACATGATATAGTATACAATTATCTGTATTTGTAAAAATTTATGTGGTTTGTTTTACTCATATGATGTTAGGGTTGTGTGAAATTGACTACCTTGGCGTGTAGCTGTATATGTGCTGTGTGTGTTTTCCTAAATTTCCCTCTACTAAGTTATCCACAATGACTCCAGCTACTCAGGAAACAGAAAGTGACATCTAGCTGCACTGGGAGAGGAGTATCTCTCAGGAACAGCTCCTACTAGTTATAACCTCTAGTGGATTGAATTCCCTCAGTGGTTGCTGGTGAGTCCTACTTCCTGGAGTCAATATGGGTCCTAGCCTCTGACCAGAAACCAGAGAAGGAGGGCTATGATCAGCTCTGGGCTCGCATCTAGAGTCCCGCTTTGACAAGGTGACTACTTTTGCTTTCATTCTTAAAGACAGCTTAAACTGGAGACTTATGTCGCATGACTGCCATCTAGTGGCCACCAGCCTCCATTACAGTTACCCAGAGGAAGCCTTCCAATAACTGCTGCTAGCACACACTACTGTGTCTGACTCGGTTAGAGGTTTCTAGCTAGTGAAAGAGTTCCTACTGACATCACATTCTACTCACTATCATTAAAACTGTCTCCCATTCATGGATCTCTCACTTAGGGCTCTTACCATTATCCAAAAAATATATAGATTTATCATTGATCTTTGACTTGTGGAAGGAATCAAAGTCCCTGAAATTAGATTGTGTATTGATTCAAATCAACAAAGCTTTTATTGCTTTAATGGCAATTTATAAACAAACATAAACACTTATATAGCTGATGTTGATATATTTGACTCCATTATGTCAGGCCAAATATCTCTGGGTATTGGCTAGAAGGCAGCACAGGATGCTGGGTAATCAGCCTGAGCCATTGCCAGCCAGTCCTCTTGGGTTTGGTCCTGGCTCATCTACATAAGCTGCTGGGCACATTTTGAGTATCTGGGGAGGGCCGCAAACCTCAGTTTCTTCATTTGTAGATGGGAGTATCTCTTTCAAGAGCTACGGCATGCAAAGACGTGTGTTTTACTGTGCAGAAAATGAACTTTCGTATCCTTTGTTGTGCAGCCAGAGGAAGCTGTAGGCTTTATTCAGGCCACACGTTTTGTAGTTAAAAAGGAGGAATAAAAAAACCCACCTCTGTTGAAGTTTTTTTTTTCTTTCTACACAGCCAGAACAGGCGGACTTTTCTTTTCTATGCTGTAAAATTGCATTTCAAGGATCAACACAGAGAATTGGCCAGAAAGGGAAAGCAAATGTGGAGAGGGAAAAATGAATGTTATCTGGAGTTTTCAAACAGCAGGAGCACCGCCAACTGGTTTGTGAGGAAAAGCATCTGCTGGTAGGGTTCCCCTCCCTCCACCCTCCCCAGTTACACTCAGCGAGCCAGTTCCGAGGGAAGGATTACAACTGCCTGAGTGGTTGAAAAACAGGGAAAAGCCTCAGGCCTGTCTAAGAGACTCCCAAAGCAGACAATCCATTGCTGTTGCCCTTGGATCCCCACCCCGAGGTGGAAGGTAAGTCCCTATTGATGAAGACGCTCTGCACTTTAGAAACAGGCCCCAGAGACTGCTGAGCAGGAGCTGACCTGAAAACCCCTCACTGAGAACTAGCTTTTATGGCAGTGGAAAGCATCATGCAAGTTCCCAGAGGAGGAAGGCAACCAACAGTCCTACCCAGATATGGTGCCTATGACCAGCATCAGTGACCAGCATGGCGCAATAACCCTACAGGTGCAGTAGTGGCAAACACATCTTGGCAGCAACCGACAGCTTCCTAATTGGATTTAAGGATACCATGCCTGACACTGGAGCCCTACCTGATTACCCTGTGCTAGCAAAATCATTGTTATTGTAGGATACTCTATAACTAATGGTTTACTAAAGCAGTATAATCCCTGCCAACAATCTACAAACACTTGTCTTTATACCAACAGATACATGTAGCCTTCAATACTCATCAGGGAAACTTTTTTGCAACAGACATAGGGGCCACACAGGAAACCACAACCAGTCAAAATGCAGAGTTGTGGAGCCCAGTCCCAATGCATACATCTGCAAAACACAGTCTTACCTGAGGTCCAGGGAGCACTGCAGAAGACAGGACCAGGGAGTTACCTGGGAGAGTCATCTCCTAGTAATATTGGAAGTTATAGCCATAAAGTCTCACCAACATGACCGCCCAAATGTGAACTGAATGTGCCAAACTGGACATGGGAAAGCCAATGAGGCCTTAACCCTAGACAAAAGTTACAGATAACTGAGGAAAGCTGGGAGTGGGAGAAATAGTCCTCCCCGTGGAAAAACAGCACACGAGTTGGTTGACCAGTACCCTGAAACATACACAAGGTACATTATATAACTGAGCAGGCTGTATTTAGTAACGTGTGCGTGTGTATATATACAAATATATATATATATGTAGTTAATAAAAAGCTTCAGCAGATGGCATTAAAAGTTTCTAATATGACGTCTTCAGTGGTAGTTGGCCTTTACGGCAAGCTCTGACCAGACCAACTAATTAAAATATGTAATTAGGAGAGAGCAACCTGGTTTTGCAAACACTCTAGTGCTGGCAACAGGAGTTGTGTGAGAGGAAGGAAGCTGAATTGAGAAATTGTCTACATCAGATTTAGCTGTAAGAAAGCCTGTTTTTGTTTGTATTTTATTTATTTATTTTAGCTTTCTTTTTATTTATTCTTTGTGTCTTTCTCATCTTGTTTCTAGGTCCCATTCATTTTGCATGCCTTTGTATCTGCCCTCTACTATTGCAACCTCCCCCAAAAAAATAAAAAATAAGAGAGAATTTAAGCGAGAAAAGAAAAACAAAAGGAAGAATCAGTCTCATCATGGAAGCTGTAGTGTGTCACAGTGAGTCTACAGCAAGCGCTTTTGTCCTTATGTCTTTGCTTGTAAGTGTTCATTGCATAACCATGGGTGTGGTTTCAGGCCTCTGGTTTCTGCTACACTGTGGATGCTGGGCTCTTACTGGGACTATGCTTGGATATCCTGCTGTTGTCCTGTGTCGTGGAGATCCTATAGCTTTGGGTCTGTGTTTCAGGGGTTTCAGCAATTTTATATGGAGAGGATATTGGAGTGAGCCAACTCATAACCCTGGTTCAGGGCCTGGGTCAGCCCTCCAGCTCTCCCTTGTCCTCACCCCCAGGGCGAGCTCTCCTGCATTGCCCTGGCTAATTCGCCCCTTATAACAATAAGCAAGGAGCCCGGCCAGTTCTCCCACACCTACAGGGCCAGCTCTACTGTGTTGCCTAGGTGAGGTGCAGGGGCCACTCTCCTAAGTGCTGTAGCTGGTGAGGGACGGGGACAGCTCTCCTATTCTTAAAACCTCAGGACCAGCTCTCCCATCTGTCACAGATGGTGTGTGGTTGGTGGGAGATGCATCTCCCCTGCCCACATCACCATATGGCTTCAGCATCAACTGGTTAACACACTTTTGTTCCTGCTCTGATGTCCTCCAGTGCCCTAGGAATCAGGGCTGTTTCCTCCCAGAGGTGCAAGGACCTACCAATGCAATGCCTTGAGCTGTCTCTGGAAACGACTTTTTCTGCAAAGCAACACTCTTCTTCCTGCACAGCTGATAACGTTGCAGAGTGACTGGTTTATATTCATGTACAAGGACATGGTCGCAGAAGCCTGAGTCAGCGACTCTGAATGACCCGGCTTCGGGCTCCTTCAACCTTCACAACAATCTCACGTCTCCTGTCCTTCCTTTCTCTTCTATATATACTGATCCTAAGAATATGCACTGAGAAATCAAAACCATCTCCTCTCCACTTTGCTCAGTTCTGTGTCCTGGCTTATGATGCTACAGTCCAGGACAGAGTGGGACAGAGAGGGGACAGAGAAGCTCTTGTCTGACAAAGGCAGTCTTGCTTTACAACGATTAGCCTATCCTGCCAGAATGGGACTGACAACGCAGTGATTTAGTTTTGCTTTCTTGTTCTCCAGCCCAAGACTGCTTCTAAATCTCAAGTGATGTTCAGAACTCAAATGTGAAATGTGGATTAATTTTTAAGAAAGTTTCCAGGTGTTTAGGTAATGTGTTAGTGCTAGCTTCAGAAACAAAGAAAAGGCCCAGGCCCAGGATCCCAACACTCTCTGTCCGGCACTGTTGTATTAACCCTGAGAACATCACTTGATGTGGCCACAGCTTGCCACCTCAGTCACGGGTAGGTGACAGTGAAGGCAGCTTTGCCTTCTTTATAAGACCACCCAGATAATACAGTTGAGCAATAATACAGATGCCTAAGTTATGATGAAGTCATATCCTGAAACACTTGCCATTATGTCAGGACCATGAGCAAAAATGAGCATCAATAAAACGTGCCCTAACTCTTCTGACTCACTGCTCAGCCACAAGGCTTCCTGAAGTGTCTCTGTTAGGGTTTCTATCACTTCAACAAAACATTGTAACTAAAGTAACCAGGGGAGGAAAGGGTTTGCTCTCTCTTACAGCTTGGAGTCCATCATCCTGGAACCTGGAGGCAGGGACAGAAGCAGAAGCCATGGAGGAGGGCAGTTTACTGGCTTGCTATTCAAGACTTGTTCAACCAGCTTCCTTCCTTTCCTTCTTTTTAATTATTTATTTATTTTACAGCCCGACTGCAGTTTCCCCCTCCTCCGCTCCTCCCAGCAACCCCTTCTCTCTGCCTCTTCTCCCATCCACGCCTCCTCCATTTCTATTCAGAAATGGCCGGCCTCCCATTGATATCAACCAAACATGGCATATCAAGTTGTAGTAAGACTAAGCACCTCCCTTGTACTAAGGCTGGGCAAGGCAACTGGTATGAGGAATAGTGTCCTAAAGCCAGCAAAGAATTCAGAGACAGCCCCTGCTCCCACTGTTAGGAGTCCCACATGAAGGCCAAGTTACACAACTGTCACATACATGCAGTTTCATAAGGTTCCCTGGTTCAGCCTTTGAATTCCTATGAGCCCAGGTCAATTGATTCTTTGGGTTTTCTTGTGAAGTCCTTGACTCCTCTATCTCCTACAATCCTTCTTTCCTCTCTTTATCTGGATTCTGTGAGTTCAGACTAGTGTTTGACTGTGGGTCTGCATCTGTTTCCACCAGCTGTTGGATGAAAACTCTTGATAACTATTGGGTTAGGCACCAATCTATAAGTGTAGCAGAATGTCATTAGGCATCATTACACTGACATCTTATTCTCTCCAATCATATTTGATTCTCTTCTAGGTGTCTGGGCCATCCAGCCTCTAGGTCTTGGCACTCCAGGCAGCGTCAGGGGTGCACTCACTCTCACGGTCTCAGACTGGAACATTTACTGGTTGGCTACTCCCACAGTCTCTGGGACACCTTTACCCGGGCACATCCCACAGACAGGTCAGACTGTAGGTCAAAGGTTATATGGCTGGGTTGGTGTCCCAATCTGTCCAATGGTAGTCTTGCCTGGTCACAGGAGATGGACAGCTCCGGGTATGTATCACAGCTGTTAGGACTCGTAGCTGGGCCTCTCCTTGTGGACTCCTGGGAATTTCCCTTGTATTATCAGCTTGCATTCTTATAGCACCAGGACTAACTCCCAAGGATAGCAACATCCATGGTGAACTGGGCCCTCCCGCAACAATAATCAATCTAGAAAAGGCATTACAGATTTGTTTATAGGTCAGTCTTATGAAGGCATGTTTTTCAGCTAAGGCTACCCCTTCCCAACTAACACTAGTTTATGCCAAGTTGACCTAAAACTGACCAGCATATGGATTTTCAGCTTATTACCCTATGGCCACAGTAGTCTGGGAACTGTGGCTCACTGCCCAGGTTCTGAAGATGCCTTTAATCTTTGAAAAATGGCTTTTACTGAATGCATATCATGTTTGCTGTGCAAGATTTGTAAGTACAGCCATCATAAGTCAGAGGGTACCTCTGTAATGTCCTTTAACTGGAGTAGCTACTAACACAAATTAGCTTCTCCCATCATTACTGAGCTGAATCAGGCATGATTCTTCAGTAGTGTGAGGTGCTACTATTAGACATTAATCTAACGAATAATTCTGTTACTAAAACCTCAAATTGTGTGCCTTATGCTAATATGTAGCAAAAACAGCAGGTACAGCTATCACAGGTCAAATTTCGTTGTTTTGTGGGCCTTTGGGAGATGTATTATGCGAGGGACGTAGTGTGTCCTCAAAAGGTCAGTTATGAGCATCTCTGAGTAGTGTTGGAAACTTCTGCCCGGTCAACAGCTGCCATCCACACTGACATCTGCCATTCCCCACTCAGTGTTTTCTTTGGCAGGGTTACTGTTATTTAACAAAAAAGGCATTCACTTTTCTTCTTGCCAGTTTTAATAGAAACTTCTACTGCTGATAACCAAGGCAACTTTCTAGAAGACAATATTTCTCAATATAAGCAAAGGATGACAAAGGAATAGGAAGAGTGATGATGCAAGATAATGGGATGGAGAATAGAAAAGTGATTTTCTTGAATTATTGGTGCTGGGGCGATACTGCTTGCTGTTTTTATTAAAGCTAGCATTATCTCCACTCAATTGTATAAACTCCAGCCTCCATAACAATTGTCTATTTCTCTGAATCTTTCTCATCTTAAAAAAAGAAAAATCTCATTATAACACAACCAACCTTGCTGTCTACAGCACAAAACTGCACTGGAGAAAGCTTCAGGACTTGAAACCCTAGTGGCTAATCTGTACAATCCTTTGGTGCAAATGACCAAGATACTTAACCATAATTATTGGGGTCATGTTGATGGAGTATCGATACAATAAAAACATTTTTTCATAGTAAGAAGCCCTGAATTTTTTAAGATAGATTCATAAATTCAAGAAGCTTTTTAATTTAATAGTTGTTGATGCTAAGGAAAATGAAGCCATTGGCCAACAAGTAGAGAATGGCAGACCAGAGCAAGGCCTGAGACTCAGGGTTAAATGGTTAACCTGGCACAAGTTCTGGCTTCTCTTAACTTGACAATGGAACAACATTTTTTTCTTTTATTTGATTTTGACGAGTATCTTTTATACCATCCTAGAGCCTCCATCCAGTGACAGGATGGATAAAATATCAGTGTCAACAGTTATGCCTTCATTTTCAGTCTGCTTGAATATTTCATTTAACCTATGTTTCTGGTTGCTTGTATCTTTATTTTAGCAATTCTTCTCAAATTTTGAAACTTGTATCTGTTTAACCGCTCAGATTTTCTTTGGTGACTTCCCTATTCAGTGACGGTTTCCTAGTGATTAGACTAAGTTCCCACAGTATCACTATGTGCTCCGTTCCCACCCCACTCCTCAACTGTAATCAAACACAGGATCTACCCCACAGATTTATTCACTCCATCTTATGTGTTATTACTGCAGTATAACTTTGTATCTCTGTCTTTTGAGCCCACAAATATTGTATTATGGTTACTATTACATGCAACTTTTCAATAAAAATAAAGAGGATTTAATGTTGTATACATTTGTGTTAATATATTAATATATTTTGCTTATAATATATTTATACAATAAGGTCTACCGGCATTTTTTTTATTTCTGTACGGGTTCTAGAAGCTATGTGGCATCGTTTGGTTTTTTTGTCTAGACCTTCCTGTTAGTATTTTTTCTTGTGAAAGCAAACTAGCAATCAACTTCTACCTTTTCTGAATTACAGATTAGTAGTTGAAGACATTTTTAATACACCATATCCCTGTCTCAGGCCTCAAATTTTTCTTTCAAGTGCTAGTTTTAATATGGTTACTCATATTAAACTAACTGGGTTTTTTTTTTTCAGTTTTCTCCAGAGTGTGATTCTCTTTTTATCTGTCCACTAGGTGTCTGTTCTTGAGCATCTAGGTGAAG